ACTGTCAGGCTGCCCAGGAAACCTGAACACTCCTTCTGGGATTTTGCTGAGTAGACTTAGTCCATTGGGACCTGTCTCAGGCCTCTACCTCCACAGCAAAATGACCCAAAGGGCAGTTCTTTCTCTGAGATTCTGGGGCAGTTATATGTGTGTGTATATATATATACACACACACACACACACATCGAACACATATGTATATACATATACACACATATATACTATATGTTTTATATATATTAGATAAAGTGTATAATATATACGTGTGTGTATATATGTAACATAAACAGAAAATTGTATAAAAATCCTGTCTTCCTCACACCCACCACCAACACCCTGTTCTTCTTCCCCTACTTCTATTAGTTTCTCATTTATCTCTCTAGAGACACTTACCCTCTACAAAACTTGTTTCTTTCCCTCCCTTCCTCCTTCTCTTATTTGTTTATTTAATTTCCTTCCTTCCTTCCTTTCTTATAAATGAAAGCATACTGTATTGTTACATGCCGAGCTTTTTTTTAAAAGATGGACTTCTTTTTAGAGTGGGAGGGGCAGAAGGAGAGGGAGAGAGAGTCTTAAGCAGACTCCTTGCTGGGCCTGGAGCCTGCCATGGAGGCTCGATCGCACAACCCTGAGATCATGACCTCAGATCACAACCTGAGCCGAAACCAGGGGTTGTTGGTCACTTAAACAACTGCACCAACCAGGCTCCCCCATGCCTTGCTTCTTTAACTTAGCCACATAGGTACATAGTTTAAGGCCATTATTAATTGTGGACTTTTTCTGTCCTCTCAAATAGTGTTGTCCAGATATTTATGTATCATCCTATCATTTAAAAATTGCTGGAGGCATATCAAATATAGTTATTCATTCTATATAATTACTCTATATATAGAGCATGATCACACCACTACTGTGTTAATAACATTTACATAATAAAATAGTAATCAAGGGCGCCTGGGTGGCTCAGTCGGTTAAGTGTCTGCCTTTGGCTCAGGTCATAATCTCGGGGTCTTGGGATCAAGCCCCATGTTGGGCTCCCTGCTCAGTTGGGGGCTTGCTTATCCCTCCTTCTCTATGTCTGCCCCTCTCCCCGCTCATGCTCACTTTCTCTCTCTCTCAAATAAACAAATAAAAAATCTTTAAAAAATAGCAATCAAAACAAACTTTAGAATTATAAAGATGAAGTTTTACATACTTAATTTAAAAAAACTATTTGATTTTTAGTAGTACAAAGTATTTTTGCTTTCTAAAATATTACTGTTAATATCTTTAATAGGATCAATGTGTTGTATATGCTTTCTCATATTTGAAAAATCTTGGGTCATCCTTTGTGATACAGCAATTCAAAGTCTGGTTATATGTTCACTTTGACACTTGGTTTCAAAGTCTATCAGAGCTGAAGAAGACACTTACAAATGGAGATATATAAATCCAAATGGATAAAATGCCTCATCAGATGAGAAAGCTCATCTACCCCCCAAACTCATTTTTCAAACCTATCTATCTTTTGTGCAAAGACATTTGTTGAAATTTCCCTTGATTTAAGTTTTTTTCCTTGTAATGTGCAACAAAGTAAATGGAAAGATTTCCAAACATCTGTTTTCAAAATGTTCTTGCCATAGGTTGAATTTCTTTTGAAAAGAAATGACTTTCTCACTAATTGTTAAAGTTCCACTTCAACCTTGAAAGGACAGATTGTGGGTTTACTATTTATGTATGTATGTATATAAATATGTATGTATATATTTTTGTGTGTCTACTTTTAAAAAAATATCTGCTAGATGATATACTAACAATAGCTGCTTACCATGACAGAAAGTTGACAGCTCATCTGCAACACTTGTGTTTTTGTCAAAGCAAGAATGCATGACTCATTCCCAGGTTCTACAGCTACTTTTAATACACTCCCATGAGGTGACCAGGGTGGTATGAGAGGCCTACCTGGCCATTTCCCATTGATTGGCGAAGTGCCATAATAATCCTACTATTTGAAGGCTTTGTTTTCATGAAATTAATCCTATTGATAATATCCTATAAACATGGAAGTTGCAATTGGCAATATACTGGACCCAGAGTCCAGGGCCCTCACCTCTCCTCTATGTAAGTTGTTCATGGTAATGGCAGCTATGTGAGACATGAGTCTGTATCACATTTGGAGCAAGAGAGGGCATCTTAATGGATTGTCTTGAGTGTCCCACAGAGGGTGCATACCCCGCACAAAGATTCTCTACGTAAGGCTCTCTCCAAGTGAATTCAAAAACTTGTTTTCCTTTAGTCTCTGAACTAGTCTTCCCTTCCCTTTAAAGTAAAATATGTGCCAGGTTTAGTTTCCACAGGACTGTACCCTAGAAGGAGTTGGCTAGGGTTGTTCTGGGAAGACCTGGCAGGTTGTCCCCTAGTACTCCCCACTGCGGGAAGATGATAAACCTGACAGCATCTACAAATTCTGTTTGTTGAACTATTATTTTGTGTTGGTCCCTAAACTAAGTGTTCCATACATACAGTCAGTTCTCTTTGTCCACTCCAGTTGTCTTCTATAACATCTCCCCAAATGCTGAATTAGTGAATGCTGAACCATTGTTCCTAAGGAAAGTACAAGATGTGGTTCCTACTAGCCTCTGGTGACAATATTTTTGTCAACCAGTTAATACATAACCTTGTTTTATGTGTGTTTTTGTTTGAAGATGTTGAGAAAGAGAGAGAGAAAGAGAGCACAAGTGAGGAGAGGAGCAGAGGGGGTGGGAGAAGGAGAGGGAGAGAGAGAATCCCAAGCAGACCACTTTGAGTGTGGAGCCTGATGCAGGGCTTGATCTCATGACCCTGAGATCATGACCTGAGCTGAAAGCAGACGCTTAACTGACTGAGCCACCCAGGCACCCCATGTGTATTTCTGTTTAAAGAAACATTATAAAATAAAGAAACCTTATAAAATATTATTGCTTTATTAATATTGAATTCATGACCAACGGCACTGTAACTTGTGCTTGAATGAAGACTACGTAACATGTGGACTTTCTCCAGAAAGCACACCACAGACCTCTTGCACTGAGGAACACTAGACAGTATTTCAACACTGTGCTTAGAAGCCCCCTGTCTTTTTTTAAAAGATATTATTTGTTCATTCATGAGAGACACACAGAGAAGCAGAGACATAGACAGAGGGAGAAGTAGGCTCCCTGCAGGGAGCCTGATGTGGGACCCAATCCCTGGACCGGGATTGCGCCCTGAGCCAAAGGCAGACTCTCAACTGTCAAGCCACCCAGGCATCCCACTTAGAAGCCCCTTTAAACAGCAAAAGCACCAATGAAAAGCACAAAAATGCAGAAAAACGTGGCACTAAATAGACTACAAAAAGAAGACCTGTTGGATCATAGCTGGGAATGCGCACTTTTGGGCAAGTCAGATTTTTCATCATTCTGAGCATGTTCATGAATGACCACACAAGTGAAAAAGTATTGATTCTGGAGTTACAAGTAAATTCTAATCAATAGGTGATACAAATATGGAATCTATGAATAATGAAGATTCACTATATCATCTCATGGTACCCTTGTGAAATGATACTAGTACAATGATATGTGAACTGAAAGGAACCTCAGGAATCTCTTCTGGCTGTCTTCTTTGAGACTTTGGGAAGCTAGGAGAGTGAAGTATCTTACCCCAAAATGCCCAGGACACGTGTGATACACATGGCACTGAATTCCTGCTCTCCTAGCCATAGTTAGTGCCTTTTCCACCGCATATTTTTGGGACCAAATGCAACAATTTAAATGGCAAGTGGGGCTATGTGCAAAACTCTTTGCACACTCCCTCTAGTTTATTCTCTGCGATAATTAAAATCTGTTTTAAACCAGAATGTTTGATTTGATGCCTTATAGTATATGGGCACAATGAAAAATATCTATAAAAAAATACGAAAGGAGGTCACAAAACTAAATGAAATCCGGCACAAAACGAGAAATTAAAAGAACCCAAAATATTTGCAGCAAGAACAGGTCTGACTTTTAAAATTTAGTTCTCCAGTGAGCCAATTCACAAATGGGTAATATGAGAGAGAAAGGATGTTGAAAAAGCCAAACATGCTGTGGAATTTCAGAGATGAGAGCACATGTTGCATAAACAGGAGAGATGTGCCAAGATGTGATATTTTAGTTGGATAATTACTAATGTATGCATATTTATAAATGTATATATTTTGATGCCAGATTATCTCAAATTTTTTGGCTATCCCAACAATTATACAAAATCACTTTGCTCTTTATTTGGCTAAAAGAAGTACAAAACTTAAAACCCAAATTTAAAATAGCTCATAACTAATGCAGCCTGCAGGCTGTTTGATAAATGTGCACTCTTGAAATGAGCCAACACACTGAGGAACCAAAAAGCCGAAAACAAAAAAAGAGAAGATAAAGATTCAGTGAGTTCTTCGAAGAAGAGCCTCTGGTACATTATAACTTTTATGGATAAGATTTCTATTTCAAAGAATCCCAAGCTACCTTTGTTGCTAAGACTCTCCACATTCCAAACTCTTGCCCACCACTGTTAGGACTGCACCTTTTCCTCGGGAGTGCTAATTAGATGCTCGTATCCAATACTACTCACCAAATACTTTCCTATACATAATATGACAAACTCTTCTGCTAGTCACAGAACAGGCTGTTGCTATAACTTTATTCACTTACTGCACTTTGCACACACTCTTAGAAGGGATTAAAGACTCCCATTCAAGGCCTCAGCATTCCATTTACCCATTTCTATCCGAAACGGTGTCTCAGAAACCATTCTTCCCATCCAGTAAGTTAAAAGATGTCATTCGTCCTCAGAAATAGCATTTTCTTAAAGTTAATTTTGTAAGGAGCCATCTCTCCCCACAAACAGAACCTTACTTGTTTCAAAGATAATTTTTATTGGTGAGAAACATTTTAAAGATATAAAAGATAATTTTCTTACTTATATGACAGTTTCCATTTTGAAAGTTTTCTTCTCAAAGTCTTCTTTCTTTCAAGAACGTAGCTTATCCATCAATAAGGATCCCATCCTCTCTCGAAAATGAATCGATTAATCATGTCAAAAGATCTCAGAGGCTGGTCATAGGGTAAAATGTGTCCTCCTCCTCGAACAATTACCTTGGAGAAGAAAAAAATAAAAGTTAAAATTTAGAGAAATGGATGTTCTACATGGATGGAAAGTTTCGGTTTGGATTAAAGTATTTTTAAAGCTTACATGAAACACAGAACCTATTCTATCAATCCATGCCTTTGGATATGCTGATTGCCTAGGTTTTGATAACTTTGCTGATAGGTACACTTTAAGGTAGGAAAGCTTTACAATTGTTGGGTTATTTTTTAACTTAACACAAAGTAGTGTTCATCTTTCACAAGTATGGAACTTGAAAATTGTCTTTCTCCTCTTGGGAGTGAGCTGTCTGCTGCTCTATGCTTTACCCTTACCTGGTGAGGCCCCTGAGGTGTGAGGATCTACCCTATGGTCAGTTCTGTTCCCAAGTGGGTGGAGGAGCTTACCCAATGCCCTCCTTCAATCCACTGAGCCACGTGGCCCTCACACTGAGCTCTACCTGACATCTTAGTCTTGGTTGCTAGTACAGGGGAATTTTGATTCTCCAAAAAATTATGACAAAAACGAGAAATCTTTGACACCTGAAATCTTAAAAGGCCATTTTTTGGGGTAGCACAGAATTAGAACATTCTTTTTTCCCCCAACATTATGAAAACTGTCCAAATATAGAGCGAATCTGAAAGAATTTCATAGACTTACAACTTAGGTTCTCTCATTAACACCCACTTTACTCATTTTCTCACACTATCCATCTATTAATCCATCTTATCTTCTTGACACATTTCAAAGTAAAATATGGATATCAGTACACTGCCCCCAGATTTTATGTAAAATTAACACACAGTGAAATGCACTTATGTTAAGTGCAGACGCACTGCGTTTGGATAGCAGTGAATACATGTGTCACCTGATGAGATATATAAAGCATTCTGAAACATCTATAGTTAGGGTGAGTTCAGACCCCTGTGCTAGGTGCCATACAGATTAAAAAAAAAAAAAAAAAGGAAGGGGTGGTGGAGGAAGGGATCAGTCTCTATTTTCAGAAAATGTCTGAAAGGGGAGGCCTTCGTGATTCAACACCAAAAGAGAAAGAACCGACACTGAGTATTGGCAGGTCGCCTGCAGGAGGACAGAGCAGTGTGGCTTGACATGTCCTATGGCACATGTGGAAAATAGCCAGGAGTTAGTAGTGGATGAAGTGAATGAACACATGCAAGTAAAGAGGTCACCCTCAGTAAGTTCTACCTGCTAAATCACAATCAGCAAGTTAAGACAACTTCGGTAAGGCCCTTAATAGCTTGTTTTACCTGCCTCAATCAGAAGGGAACTGAGGCAGGAAAAAAAAAAGGAGAAATACATTTACACAGTGCATTTATTATATTAAAAATCCACCCCAACACTCAGCATCTTACAACCTTGCTGTGCGGTAAGTGGGACCAACATTATTAGATGAATTTTGCTTTACAGCTCACAGCTACACAAGTTGCGTACTGCACAACTAGCAGCAGAGAGCACCATTCACGCCAGCCTCGGTGACTGAGTGATAACAGAGCTACTAGGAGGCTTGTCCAAGTCACATAATTGTAACTGAGAGAAGGAGCTGGAACCTGGGTTTTGATGCACACACCAGTGTTTTTATTCAAATCATAGTATTTGTACAATAATTCTTTATATTTGAACCAAACTTTACAGTTTAGTCATAGAACATTTCACCTGGCTCTCAACAGCCCTCTGAGGCGAGTAAGGGAAGTAGACCACTATTACAGATGTGAGATTGGACTCAACCCTCATACACAATTGGAAACACGTGCTTTATGCTACACTCTGTCAATGGCCATTTGTGCCTTGCTGCAATGACAGTGGAGCCCATCTACCATGTGTGTTCAAGCCTGCATCTGGAAACCCAACATTTTGTCACAGACTGAAAGTAAACATGTGTGACATGAGCCCCTCATGTGACTCTAGAGGAAAACTTTTGCTGCCCCCACAGTCCCAGGCTCGAACTCTTTTCCTGTAGGTTCCCATCCAAATCTCCGGCTTTGGCAGGATTTTGATGAGTGATTCTCTGCAACTTCAACTCAGCTGAGGACACTTAAGGAAGCCATGTTTGTGACAAAACCCAGCTGCTGCTTCAACTGGAAGCGAATCTGGCAGCAGTGGTCCAGAACAGCGGTAAGCTGAATCCAAGAGTTGAATCCAAGAGCTAATGGTCATCCTGCCTCTAGGACCAGAGCTGGAGCTACTAGGGGTAACATAGTGCCTTATGGCCCAGGCAGGAGTGTGACTCAAGACACAGCAAGCTGTGTGACCCTGGACGAATAACTTACCTGCTCTGAGCCTCAGTTTCCTTAACTGTACAACAGAGAAAAAAGCATTACGTCTTGGGACAGTTGGGAATTACGTGAGCAATTAATGGAATAATGTCCATGGATTACTTAGCATAGTGCCTGGACTAGGATGGTACTCAGTGAATATTAGCCATTGGCATTTTTCTTCCAACAGTTATCCCTATTCAAAATCTAGGATCAAAATGCTTGTATCAAACTATTCTAAAACCCTAAGTTCCTACATTAGCATTAAGAAATCTTTGTTTCAGGGATTTGTTTAAAACTGAGCTTCTCAAACCTGAATATGCATCAAAAGCCTTCTGCTTCTTCCACCTTGACTCTTGTTTCTAAGGACCTGTTGCCATATTGCCCAGAGATGGGCTTACCTGTCTCTGCGTTGGTCATGTAGACACCACAACACATGTGTAGGACCTGCCACACATACCTAGGTCTACGCCCTTGGGAGGGAGAGGGAGAGGATGGAGTAACTATTTTCTGGTACATTTTCACAAGTATAAAAGGGATGAGAACAAAATGTTTTTTTTTTTTTCTTGAAAAAAAAAAATAAAAAGCTTGTTAGAACAGACTGCTGGGCCTCACCCCTGGACTTTCCAGTGCTGAAGGTCCAGGGCAGGGCCTGATAATTTGCATTTCTAACAATTCCAAGGTAATGTTGACACTGTTGGTTCAAAAATTATTTTTTGAGAACCACTGTTTAGAAGAACCTTTTCCATTCTGTGACAAACTAGGCAATTCTCTATATTAAGAGAGAATACGAACAGATTTTGCTTAACACCTAACTCATGGCTCACCACAGTATATTTCCTCCCAATCATCCACTTTCCCAGTATTTACACACATGCACACAAACACACACACATACACACACACACACACACACACACAGCTTCTCTGACCATGATAATCAAGTGGTGAAGAAGAGATGATACGTTTGGTGTTACAATTCTTATTCTCAGTAAACTGCATGACTCCTGGTCCAGTTCTCAGCTGCCATATGTAGTGACCAAATGTCATCATAAACGGTGCCATTAAAATTGGAAAGAAAAGCTCCTTTGGGAACAAAGTATTTTTCACACAGCAGAAAATTCTCAAAGTATATTCCTTAGCATATTCACAAAGAGCATTTTACCAATGTTAACCTCAAATATAAACTTATGAGTTCCAGAAAAAAAAAAGACTGTTGTTTATAACCATGCTGTTTACCACTCACAAATCAAGGATACAAACAACTCCATGGTTTTTAGAAGTATATAACAAAATGTGACAGGGCTGTGATTCCATATTTAACTGTGATGAGATTAATCCCAAGGCTCCCTGGTTAGAAATGGTCTCATCATCAGAAACTGTCTATGTTGGGTGTTTCCATGCTAGAGCTGAAACCTCTAAACTCATGTGTTCCAGATGTTCCAGGGGGTCACAAATGTGTCATGAATTTTAAAAGGGTTATGCAAACACTTTAAAGCTTCATTCCACTCTATTTTTTTGACACAGATACAATTCTCTCTGGAACTAGAAACATGGACCTGGCGGTCAAGGCTTCCCAGTTGTGCCTTTATAGGTGACAAGATATAGAGGGAAATTCACACTGGGATTGTTGATATAGGTTTGTCAGAGGAAACTTCATGGGGGTCTTGGAGGAGCAGATGTCTGGACAGACTGTGCTGGGTGGGGTGGGGGAGGGATGCACCCAGAGGAAACTGCCCTCGCAAAAGCAGCGGAGCGTGAAACTGCACGGCACGTGCAACAAGCAACAACCCACGAGGGGTTCCAGGTATGCAGGGGAAAGAGAAGGGTGGAACAGACAAATACTAGTGAGACCATGTGATGCTCCATATGATGTGCTGCTGGGTTTGTGTGTTTAAACGAACAGTAGCATTTAGTACATTCATGATGTTGTTCAAGCAACACCATTATCTAGCTGCAGAATGTTTTCATCGCCCCAAAGGGAACCCTATATCCATTAGCAATCTCTTCCCACTCTCCTCTCTTAGCCAGTCCCTGGCAATCCCTAGGCTGTTTTCTGTGGACCTGCCTATTCTGGATATATCTAAGGAGGTTTCAAGCAGGGCAGTAATATACTCAGATTTGCATTAGAGAAGGATGACTTAATGTGTAATGAGTGGGCTGATTTGGAAGGAAATGATACTAAGGCAGGGAGGCAGATTAGGAGACCAGCTGTTCAGGTGAGAGAGGATGTGAGTGCATGGGAGAAATGGGGAGAAGGGGAAGGAGAAGAGAGATGTCAAGGTGGAACCATAAAATCAGTGACTATTCAGATGTAAAGGTAAAGTGAAAGCACGCCCCAACATGTATACATATCCTCCCCATTTCAGGCTTCTGACACAGGCAGCTTTGTAAGTGGTGGTGCTATTAACCAAGAAAGAAGAAAAAGAGGCAGGTTTGGGTAGCTGGCAATATAGTATAGATTTATAGTTCTTCTTTTTTACTACAGGATGATGCAGACATGGGAAAAAATCTTGCTTGTTATGGTGTCTGATTTACACTAAATTTATTTTATTATTTTTATCTTATTTCATATTCACAAAACCTTACCCTTTAGCTTTCAGACACTAACCTTGTGTTGAAATGGAATAAATATGCACTCAAATAAAAAATATACTGAAAACGAAAGATACCTGGGAATGAGCCAAAGCTTGTTAGTAGCCACGTCCTAACAAGGAATTGGGCAACCCACTTAAAAA